ACTTCTATTTTTGTGATCGAGTAATGGCAGTTGAAGATTTAGTTGTGTTAATAAAGACACGGTCTTCTAATAATGAATGGTTCGTGAAGTTAACATTATTAACCCCTAGACAAAACGTAGCCATCGAACCTTTGGTAGAATCGGTTCGTAACTCACGATCCGAATAAGCTACTGCTATTTTCTTTGTCCTGTTTTTTGGTCAATAAACATAGATATGGACTTTCAAATATAATTTCATAAACACTGACCCTGGAAAAACGTGTGACTTTTTTTTCCCTAGCGGTGAAAATCTGTGACACATTTGATTCCATAAGAATATTGTTTTTGTTGGTTTTTTTTTTTTTTTTTTTTTTTTTTTTTTTTTTTTTTTTTTTTTTTTTTTTTTTTTTTTTTGTGTGGGGGGGGGGGGGAGAATTGAGTTTTTTTTATAGCTGTGTTAGCTTCACCCAGGCGAATATTTTGGAAGTCTGTGAAGATAGCTGTAATATAATATCTGACTAGCATATTATTATTATATTATTATTGTATACATTATTTCAAGTTCAACTGGGTCGACTTGTATTACAACTTCATTCCTATACATCGCACCTCTCGTCATCGCCACATTTCCTTAAAGTAAGGGTCCCGTCTTCCACCTTTCGCTCGGAGACCTTCGGCGCCCTCGATTTCTCTCACTCTCACCGATGAAAATGACAATATAGCCATCTTTTTACTACACAAAAATTCAACACTACTTTAAGTAAATTAAACGATTTATTTGAACTGTCCAAGATCTTATTGTCCTATAATTTTGAACACAGAGTTGGACCAAATAGATTCGTTGGTAAAAGTAAGCTGGGGCCCAAAAGAATACCCTTAGGGGCGTCACAGCCGGAATGAAATATGTATGTTTAGGGGAGATCTTACAGCTGGCCCTGGTCCCCATTACGCCTAATTTTGGCACTGATAAATGCACTGCCTCCACCAAGTCTGAATGTAAGGGGAGATCTTACAGCTGGCCCTGGTCCCCATTACGCCTAATTTTGGCACTGATAAATGCACTGCCTCCACCATGTCTGAATGTTTAGGGGAGATCTTACAGCTGGCCCTGGTCCCCATTACGCCTAATTTTGGCACTGATAAATGCACTGCCTCCACCAAGTCTGAACCCACCACCTATTTTGGCCCTAATAAATGCACTGCCCCCCCCAAGACTGAACCCACCACAAAACAAAAAAAAAAAAAAAAAAAAAAGAAAGAAAATAGAACGAAAGGAAGACTGCTATTATATTCTACGCCCCTTCCAAACATTAACTTATTTTCCCCCACGTGTGACTAGTCCTGGAGCCACGTGTGACTAGTCCTTGAGCCACGTGTCACTAGTCCTGGAGCCACGTGTGACTAGTCCTGGAGCCACGTGTGGCAACCACACAAGTTATAATTATATCACTGCTTATCGTTATTACGATAACATGTGTAGTTCGAACTACCATCTGACCGTATTGATTTGAGCATTTGAAAGGTCGGAACTATAATGTCATGTTGAATATAGGTACAAAATTGGCTGGACGCGTGCAATGATCTACACATACAGATAGTCTCGGTACATTGGACAAGACGTGGTTCAACAGGGCGCATGAAAAATAAAATGGTGGACCCCAATATCGGACCACCTTGTCTATTGGCGCATTTCTGTACTTACCGTATCAGAGTAAATGAGCTAAAGTCTAAAAGGGTTGGAATCCGAAGCCTGCCATGTCCCGCCCAATGATGACAGTGGATAGTGTCCAGCTTGATATTATAGCATAGTTAATTCGTTAATCTTTCGACACTGACCAGCAGTCACTACCTGGTGGTGTTGTAGGGGGCTATTGAAAATGAAGAGGTACCCTTGATGACAGTTGGCGTCTCACTTGTGATTTAAGGACGCCCTTCCACCCCCGCCCCAAACAACAAATACTTGAAAAATGAAAAGGACTGCCACAGTCTTTATCGAATCTATTATTACTCTTAATATTTTGACAAGGATTAAATGTACGAGACTGCTGTAAGATGTATGACTCAGGTCAGGGGTGGACTGGGGAGTTCAAGCGGCCCGCCAGGGGTGGACTGGGGAGTTCAAGCGGCCCGCCAGGGGTGGACTGGGGAGTTTAAGCGGCCCGCCAGGGGTGGACTGGGAAGTTCAAGCGGCCCGCCAGGGGTGGACTGGGGGAGTTCAAGCGGCCCGCGTCCCCACCTGACCCCTCAAGTTCGCGCCGGCCAGGGGTGGACTGGGGAGTTTAAGCGGCCCGCCAGGGGTGGACTGGGAAGTTCAAGCGGCCCGCCAGGGGTGGACTGGGGGAGTTCAAGCGGCCCGCCAGGGGTGGACTGGGGAGTTCAAGCGGCCCGCCAGGGGTGGACTGGGGGAGTTCAAGCGGCCCGGGAAAAAAACAAAAAGCGGCCCTGTCTTCATGACTTTTATTTGTATTATATCACCGGTCCTAGCGGCCCATCGGGAATCTTCCCGGTGTCCCGGCGGCCCAGTCCACCCCTGGCTCAGGTGACCCCATCCAGTGGCGCTTCTAGGTTTAGTGTTCGAGAACCAATATTGTTGCCGCCCCCACCAAGAAAAAGTCTGCCGTTGACTGACAATGGTGCTCCTCTTTATACAGAAATAGTCACGCAAGGGTAAACGGCCCACATTTCCTACGTTAGTGAGTCATCCCACCCCCTAAAAAAAAGTATCCTAATTAAAGTAGAAGACATAAAAGGGATCCAAATTAATCCAAGTTTTTTTTACAAGAAACAAAATAATGAATGAGTTATTTGTTCATATATCCCCAGTTAGAATAGGAACATGTCAACATGGTCGCTTCTCCAAACTGTAGATTGAGCTTATAATTCATCTCTTAGAAATAATGATGATAAAATAATCAATACAGATTTTATGGACTATTCAAATTCGAGACTTGCCAAGCTAAGCTTCATCTTCAAAAAGCGCCATAATCTTTCGCATTTCATGTGTGGCGAAGGGTGCGACCAATTTCAGACTTTGCTCCGGGCAAAGCTTGGGCCTGAGACGGACTGGCTGCAAGGTCCCAGCTAACAATAGCAGCGGAGAGTGCCAAGCTTGGTACATGTTCATTGTTCGACGCATGGTGTGCGTCTCCAGCCTTGAGCCGCCAATGCGGTCCACGTAATTCGTCCAGCTTGTTGAACCAATCTTGGGTCCAATGTTTGGCTACTGGAGCTGCGATCTGATTGGTCCTGTGTGAGTTTGCTGGGTGTGTACATAAGGTTCCTAAGTGTAGTGGTCCGACTCAGTTGGAAGCATAAAATTGTTGCTATCATGTTCTTTGATTTTATCAGTACATTTTTAAGAGTCGGTGGTCAAATTTTGAAATTGTAATTAACCTCATCAGGTAAGTCTTGCCTTTTATGTTTTTCCTACTAGAAGTATTTTACCTCAACCTTTGCATTCCAGCCAGTGAACTTTTACCGAGTTCGAATACGATATTAAAGATAATTTTAACCATTAAATTTATTAGATTGAAAGATAAAATTATAATGTTGTGCTTTTAAGTTAATTAACATTCGATGACAATGCGATACAGTGTGACTTTCGATGACAATGCGATACTGTGTGACTTTCGATGACAATGCGATACTGTGTGACTTTCAATGACAATGTGATACTGTGTGAATTTCAATGACATTGCGATACTGTGTGACTTTCAATGACAGTGCGATATTGTGTGACTTTCGATGACAATGCGATACTGTATGACTTTCAAAGACAATGTGATACTGTGTGACTTTCAATGACAATGAGATACAGTGTGACTTTCGATGACAATGCGATACTGTGTGACTTTCAATGACAATGCGATACTGTGTGACTTTCAATGACAATGCGATACTGTGTGACTTTCAATGACAATGCGATACTGTGTGACTTTCGATGACAATGCGATACTGTGTGACTTTCGATGACAATGCGATACTGTGTGACTTTCGATGACAATGCGATACAGTGTGACTTTCTATGACAATGTGATACTGTGTGACTTTCAATGACAATGTGATACTGTGCGACTCAAACAGGAGACGACTCTGCTAATTCAAAACTGATTAAAATTCAAGCCATAAAGCAATATTAATATAGAATGTAATTATAATAAGACAATAAAAATGTTTCGGCTGTTGATCCAAAGTTGAAAAAAAAAAATCTTGGAGAATACACCTCGTAACAAAATTAATATGTTGGTTGTATCGTGAAGCAGCTGTGAAATTTGTATTGTGAAACAAACATGTGAGTTGTATGTAAATTGCAGTGTGAAACAGATATGCAAGCAGTGGCGTAGCTAGGGGAGGGGGGGTCCAAATTCGAAAGTCCCCCCGGGCCCCCAATTGAGGAGTGTCCGAATTTTTTTTTACATTAAATAATGTCGAATGTCAAAATGCAGCGACCCCCAAAGAGGCCTAGCCCCTCTGGCCCCCAAATCCCTAGCTACGCCCCTGCATGCAAGTCATATTGTGAGACAAATATGTAAGTTGTATGGTCAAACATCACTGAAAAATTTACTTATAAAAAAAAAAAGATCACTTGAAAGGTGTGTGCGCATTAGCTTTAATTTGTCACAGCTTTACGGGCAGTCGTAACTTCGTTACACCATTCTGAACTATTTATGGCTAGTAACTTTAAGTTTTATTGACAGAAACTGACTGATTCTAACCCTGGTTATAATAGGGTGTCCATTGACGTAGTCGTCAGTCAGAGAATTAGATCATTAAATGATCTTTAATTAAAATGCTGCGGGATTAGAATTTTCCTATTTAATAATATCAACAGCTTCTGCAAGTTGCCGTTAAATACAAAATACACTGGCATTTAAAACTGAATCTAAATCTTTATTTCTCTTCATTCAGGTGGCCGTTTCCAGCAGTCAGAATCTGCCGTCCAAATGCTGCCTACCAAACACCAGGCGATGCCCAACATTCTGTGCAGTGGTTGGCTGAGCAAGTCGCCACCCGAGAAGAAGATGAGGCGACGCCTCAAACTGTTGCGCTCCAAGTGGAAGACGCGCTTCTTTGTACTGCAGCAGACCAAGCAGACGTACGAGCTCAACTACTACAAAAACGAACAATCCAACAAGAAGAAAGGTTCCGTCAACCTGGAGCGCTGTAACGAGGTCATCGAGTCCATCCACTGTGACTTTTTCCCCAACCTCCTGGCCCTGAAGACCTGGCACAAAGACAAGACCAGGATGTATTACCTGGCAGCGTCGTCCCAAGCCGAGATGAAAGGTTGGGTTCACTGGCTATGTTTTGTGTGTGGTATCAACACGCCGCCACAGGAAACCCACATACATGAGCTAAACCCAACACTAGACTATCAAACTCTTGGACACACTGCTGTCTATCCTGTGGACTTAAGATCTGGGGATTTCTCCGGGAGGCCAAGAAGCTGTTCCAGAGTTTTCTCACGTACACCTGATGACATTAATTTATCAGCTGTTCAACAAGAAAGCGTCCCAGAAGAAGAGACCAAACAGGATGGGGAAACACTCCAGGGAACAGTCGACACACCATTTCAATGTTTCATAAAACAGCTGTCAGAAAGCTTATCTTTAGCTGAACCTGAATTCGATGGTACTGAACGATTTCTTCCTGTAATACAGGAGCCACCTGCCAATGGAACTATAACACAGGAACCACCTGCCAATGGAACTATAACACAGGAACCACCTGCCAATGGAACGGTATCACAGGAACCACCTGCCAATGGAACGGTATCACAAGAACCACCTGCCATTGGAACTCCTGAAGTCTTTCTGATGCCATCAATGTACAGCACAGAATTGTCACAGCCTACACTACACACCCCTGCTGATGCTGTGGTGGTGGCCTCAGTTGAGGAAGATAATGTCAGCACTGGGTCTTCTTACCTGTCGTTAAATGGAGGAGACGTGCCAAATTTAACTTCCTCTCAGCCCAAGATGCATCACACGAGTACATGATATGATGTACCCACCTCTCCCATTAAAAATGCTCTTCCTATGACTCACGGAGCATGGAACATGATGCACTCTTATTGAATGTCCCTTAAACCATTTAATTTAGTTGTCAAAAATCATATTTCGAAATTTGCAAAAATGTTCTTGTACCTGTATTTGAAACAATTTTTGTTTACTTTATGGCTGAAAAGAAGGAGCATTCTTTTAAATATATATAAATTGAAAGGCTATAATTACTAATATCACATAATTTATTTGTATCTTATTAAGTCCACTGCAATGAAATAAGTTGATTAGTAGAAATCAAAATAAAATTCTATACTTGCTTGCCATTTTAACTTTCTGTTAATTACATTAAAGTGTGCAGTATTCTCGAGTTGACATAAACTTAGCTATATTTTTGTACTTTGGTTTTTGATGTGTATGAACAGATCCTTCAAGTACTTTGGTAAGATCCAAACCAGTGTCATTATATTGTAGGGAGGCGGAGGGGCTGTCGGGAATCGGTTGTCTTCACAAAATTTTCTGACACTACAGTTATTTGAAACAGGCAACCAATCATTGATTGATGTTAACCAACAAAACTTGGCTTTAATATTAAAGAAAGGGATTATAATAAACATTGGGGGGGGGGGGGGGGGGGTTACTTTTTTTTAAAAACATTTTTCAAACTTAAATAACATTTCCAAAGGAAATAAAGTTAATTAATGTTAAAATATCTTCTTGGAAAAGGAGATATTATGCACTGAAGACACGAATGCAGTTAGCGCCATGTCACACTGTGCCTCTGTCAATGTCTTGTCACACATTACAACTCCAATATTTCAAAACAACACAACTTTGGCAAAATGTCACATGTAAAGATAAATGCAAATTGAGTTGCTCTAAATATTTCATATTATAATATTTATTCTTTGTGCTATTAATGCATCAAATGTTAACAAAAAGGATTTTTTACTTTGCATGCCCTCTTCATCATGCAATACCCCAAAAGGAACGAATTGAAACACACATTAAAAGTCTTCAGACAGCTGAGAGAGAAGGAGATCATCATTTAAATCTGAAAATAGAAGAAAATATACACAAGATGTTTCAGTTGTGAAAAAAAGATAAAACATCTACTCTTGACAACTCTTATCCAAAAAATTACTTAGATATTTCTCTAGTGTAATTTAAAGCTGACCAGTTTGATGCCAATGAGTTGAAACTTAAACAAAAGTAACAGAGGCCACTAGGCATACATAGGTCAGTAGGCATAAGAATGCCACTAGGTAAAAAATTCAGATGACGTGACACTCTAATAAAGAACATTTAACTGTTTTTTATACCAGTAATGTCTAGTCTACCAACTCACCATCATCCCAATGTGCCAATATAGTGTTGGCAGTGGGTGGACTAGCTGGTGGCAGGCTCACATTTCTCTGTCCCAACTGAATCCTTGAATCTCTTTCAGCTGCCTTACCGCAAGTCACAAGAGAGTCAACACCGGGGGCTGTCAGAGAACAGCCTGGACGTTTGAATGATGTGGTGTCTGAACATGGCGGGGCGATGTTCGTTGGACCTGCCGGCTGTACTAACAGATTTTCCTTAGAACTTTTGTTTCCCAAATACGATGAATCAGCATGGCATTCATTGTTGCTTTTAGTTAGGGCCTTACCATAGCTGGATAAATTGGGTTCAAACATGGGTCTTTTGGGCGGAAGTGCTGCAGGCGACGATTGAACAGATGAGACACTGCGCTTGAAAGTGAATCTCTTTTCATTGCTGGATTTAGCTGCACGTGATATACTGAGTGATGGAGGCTCTACAAATCTGGAATGTACATCTTGATCACTTTTGCTGTCGCTAAGGTGCCAAGTGCGAAACTCTTCTCTTCTGCAGTCATCAAATACCTTGTCAAGGACTTCATTATCAGTAGACGCTGTTGGGCTCAATTCTTTAGTCGCGGGGTGAAATACAGAACACACTTTGTCAGTGGTTGCACCTGTCCTGCCAGCCTGACCGTACGCTACATCACAGAGCTGTAACATCTCGTGATCGTCATCATCAGGGAAGTTTTCATAAACCAATCTGTTGCTAGTTTTTATTTTTTCTATGCCAGCACACAACGACGGCTGGTCTGTAACTGAAGTTTTGTGACTTAAACCTCTAATATTTTGTGGTGTAAGATTTGAGCTGTGTGTGTTACCGCATTTCATGTGGATATCTGTAGCTGCTGTGTCTGGGCTTCTGATCGCCTCCGCACCACTTATCATGTGACCAGATTCCAAAAAGTTTGGGGCGACACTTTTCGCTGAGTGAAGCGGTATTGTAGCCCCGTTTCTGTTTTGTGGCTGGAAGAATGGAGTATTTCTATTTGAGGGACTGTAAGTGGAATAACTAGCTGGTAGATTACTGGAGTAACTAGTCGGTAGATTATTGGAGTAACTTGCCGGTAGATTACTGGGTGGACACAGCCTAGGTCTGTGAACGGGCAGCTTTGAGGTTCTTGAAACAGCTGGGGAAGGGGAAATAAATCTTGGACTAAACAAACAGGAGGAAGTTGGACTGGTCAAGTCCGTTGATCTCGGAGACACCAAAGAAGATGCCAGAGATGAGGTACCACGGTTTAAATTATGTCTGAAGTTTCTCAGAGACATGGACAGCTCTTGTTCCGACTCTTCTATGATTTCTTTCAGAGAGGGTATCTCCACAGAGTCTTTGGTGCACACTTTGGATTCTGGGGATGAAACGGAATGGGAGATCCACGGCCGCTTGTCTATTCCATCCTGTCTGCTGGCAGAGTAGATAAGCACAATATTCCCCGGAGTGATATTTAGATAGTGCGTTCGAATGGAAGGGCTGATGACACTGATCTGTCAGGAGGAATCATAACATCTGATTAGAGTTAGAATAACATACAAATCTTTATTTTAATCTAGTTCTATCTCAAATTTTAAAAAGGGCGCATTTAATAAACTAAAAAATAAAGTACTTTAAACATTATTTAATGGCAATTTTAATTTGTTGATTGAAGTTTCCATGAGAGTCTAAAAAGAGTTTTACTTTTAAATTCATACGTAGAGAGAGATTAAAGTGTCCAAATTTTTTACTTTGATTGATATAACTCTTCAATGCTGTCACAACTTTGCCAACTGGTTCATAGGCACACAAACACCACCCCCCCTCTCCCCAAGAAAACTAAGCCTCTTTTGAAATTCAATTCATAAAATGAATAAAGAACATTATCTTGCTGACCCGGACCCCCCCTCCCCCCCTTTCTTCTGCCCGCCCACCAAACACAATGGCAGACTTTCTTCTTAATCTAGCTGTATTTGAGCCACAGTTAGTTGTCCACATGCAACATGATACAAACTAAGTAACTATGCAACATTTCCAGTTATTTGAATGAGCTTCAATAAGAAAGCAAGAATAAAAGTTTGATATACTTATTTACAATATAATTTCGTTTATAAACATTTCACGAAGAAATCAGAGTGGCTATAATTATAAAAATCAAAACTTTTCCTTGTTTACCTGTCTGAGAATAACAGCAGATCCAGGCTGTATAGTAGTGTTTGGGTCCTTGATAAGATCTTGATGCAAAGATCCATTCATTTTACCTGGATGTAGAAAATATGAATACAAATCCAGAGCAGTTATAGTTAAAGGGAGAACATTATGCAAGGGAGAGCATTCAGTAATCTATAAGAATTTTTTTTTAAAAAGATTATATAAAGTTAACTATATTTATAATTACATATTATTATTTACAATGAGAAATGAAAACAGAACTAATCCAGTGGAAAAGACTCGATGGATAGGGTAAATATTTATTTTCAAAAAAAGATTTCTGAAATTCAGTTTCACTTATTACACATCTAGCATTACGGCATGTAGCAGTCTCCAACCTCCCTTATTGCAAGTGACTACATATTTAACATCAGTTTATGCATACTGCTATATGAAGTAAACATAAAGTGTATTTTTAAAGTTTGTTTCAGAATTATTCAACGTGTCAATCGAATAAGTCTCTAAATGGGTGCTATTAAGTTGGTCAATTAATTTGAGAGCTATATTTTCAGTGTATCTATTAGTTCATACTGTATAATGGTATTGTGGCCTTAATATTTCATTACCTGTAGGGTCCCTGATGACAACAGAGGCATCAGAACCTTGCATGTCCATACTTTCTATGACACCAAGGATCAGAGGAATCTTGCCTCGTGGGAGAAGCTTCCTGCTTGCCTGTAAAAGCAATTCTTCTATGTAATGTACAAATTTATAAAGCTTATAACATAGATAACTGAACTATTTGTTTAAATATTTTTTTAATTAAATTTTATTAACAATTTATACCACTTAACAATGTAATATAAGCGTTATAACAGATAACCTATATTTTTGTAAGAAGGAAGTGATCACAGAGTTATGTTTGAATTGTTATGTAGATGTACGCTGATTAATATTTTGCCTTACTTTTAAAAGCATTGACTTGACTGAAAACTTGGCAAGTAATGATGGAGAATCTGGGCCCAAATCTGCCACCAAAGACTTCCAGGCCCCGGATGCAAAAATATCATCAGCAGAAACTTGAGACGACGAGTTGTTCTCATTCTAAGGAGAAAAATGAGATCATTCAATAAATACATTGAAAAATTTGATGACATCAGGCTGTCTATCAAATGGCTTTTTTCTTTCCACAGATGACTTTTTAAGGAACTGTTTACTAAAATAGTTTAAATATCTTAATATGATAACAACAATATTTTACAAATCATGACAGCTATAAGTATTTTAAGCCTTTTTTAAAAATTAAATCCATTTTTGACAAAAGTAATATAATTGGCTACAAAATAATATGATTTTTTCATGATTTATTTTGTTATTGAAAAATTAACAGCGTGAATTGTGTGATGACAATCAGTACAAAAATATATTACTTCAAATTTATTTTTAATATATCAGTTTTGTTGCAGGCAGAGTGATGAATTAAGTCAACAGAAACAGCCATCAATCTTGTCACTAAAAAATGTATGGCATTGAAGATTTACTTAACTTTCCCCATCAGTTTTATTAATACCCCCAGCTTACCAACCCTTTTACAGTTGACCAGTCAAAGGATAGTGCTGACAGCAAAGCCACATTCAAGGAAAGCTCACTCAAGGTGCTGGGCTCCATGCATTACAGGTTATTTCTATCCGTGATCTAACCACTGTTTTTAATGTTCCTAATTAGTATATATAATTTATACTGAATGTGAACCTCCTACCAAGCCATTACTGTATGAAAGACAATGACTAAGTCTGAAATAAAGGCTATGTTTATCAATATAATTTCTTAGATTTAGTTTTATTTGCAGTCTTTCAGCTAAAGCAATAGTCCAGGTCTACTCTATACTAGAAACTGTGTCCAGTGAAAATTTTTACATAATAAAAGAAAGACCTGTAATAACAAAAAAAACATAAAATATAACAAAATCATCAAAATGTACCTCGTTATTATGATCAGGAGGAATTCTGGGACTGTCAAGAAGCAACTTAAGTTCAGGCGATTCAATCAGTTTAACATTCAAATAGCTTCCTGGGCTCTGTAAAGTCATGCATCGCAAAAATTTAGACAAGCATTTCAGAAAATACATGACAAAGAATTATTGCATTTGTTAAAAGGCTTTTGTGGTTACCACTAGTAGTACCTTCCAGTTTAACTTAAAATTTCTAAAGCTTATATTTTTGCTTACGTAGCAGTTCATATTGTAAGTTGATGATAATAATTATTCAAATGGGTTTTGAAACCTGGACAACAAAGAAAACATTTTTAAAACTGTGTATTGAAATTCTTTTGTGATCAAATAAGTGGAGTCAACAGGCGATATCCTAAAATAAGACACTTACAGATGGAGGTAGAATGCCAGCGGGACCAGGAAATTTTCGTTTGCATCTTTTAAGGTTGACTTCTCTGTTAATCCTAGGCTGTGGGTTACCACCACAATCAAATTTAATAGGCCCTGGAAGCTCTGTTTGAATAATGATATAAATTTACACATAAAATATTAGACATTGTTTTGATAAAAAAAATTGTTTTGGATTGCCTTATAATTAGTTTTTAAAATCAATTAAAGATCAAATATTTTATTTTAAAGATTGTGTTTGACTCTAATGCAAAAGAGCAGGTACATGAGGTAGTACAAGGAAAGAAAGATAACCTTGAAATAGATTGCTGCCAAAAACTTTAAGGCAATTGAAAATAATTGAATATAAATCCAATACTTAAAGTTTTAACTCATAAATTACCTGAAATATGTACATTGTTATTATCTATGTCAGGTTCATCTCCAATGGGAAGTTCCTAAAATACGAAACATAAATTCTCATTCTAATACATGTGTTTTTCATAAAGTTAAAAATAGATATCAATAACATCACCAGCTTATGACAAGTTTTTTTTTTAAGAAATGAAAATAACATCATCTAAATTTACAATTTCATGGAAACACTAAATTGCCCTGAACATATAAGAGTTATATTATAATAGGATCATGCTCAGTTTTTTTTAAAATATCTCAGCATGGATAATATGAGCTTTGCTTGTTCTTGCAATTAGTTTTAAAAAATGCATTGTTTCGGTATCCTTTCAATTATGTAATTTTCAAATTTAGAATAGCTACTTGATTTTTAGGCTTATTAGTTATTAATTTGTTTCCATTAGCAACACAATTTGATCCCTAAATGGAGACCACTTCCATCAATTAGGTGTTTTTCTAAAAGAAAATGTCAGCATATAGTTGCCAGCATGTAATGAATAAATTATCAATTTATTTCAAATTTTTATTAAATTCACTTTAAAAATCTAATATTGTGAAGTAATTTTAAGAACGCTGTTGCATTTTTTACATTTAGTCTTAGTCAATCCTATTGACTTTGTGTTTTAAGTCAATCTTGACAGGGAAGAATATAAAACTTAGCTCAAATGCGTTCACTATTTATGACATTGATTTTAAGATGCTAAAATATGACATTACCATGGCCATGGACATGATGATCTATGGCAGCGTTTCCCAAACTTTTAAGTTTCACGGACCGGTGGACAAGTTTTGAAACTGCAACAGGGACCGGTGCCAGATTTATTAATTACATTTTCTTTCTATTTAAACATCAATATTCATGCTCTCTGGACCGGTAACGTAAGGCTTGCAGACCGTTGCCGGTCCATGGACCACCGTTTGGAGAACGCTGATCTATGGTACATTTAGTTAACAGAAGTAGACCCAGGGCCAGGGCCTGCATAAAATTCTGAATTTTGATATTGTCTCAGGTTTACCACACATTTAGAAAAAAATGGAAAAATTTAATTAACTGAGTGTGTAAATGACGGACAAATTAATTCATAGTTTAAGTAGTGCCTTCTCTGATATAACTTATGGAGTTATTAATATTTCTAGTTTTGGTAGGCTACTCTTACTTCTCTGACATAACTTATGGAGTTATTAATATTTCTAGTTTTGGTAGGCTACTCTTACTCTTGGTAAGTCTTAGCATTGCTTAGTTAAGAGGTGGAGAGGGGAACTTGCAGTATTCTAGTTCTAAATCTTCAAGTGCTGCCTTTTAACTTTTCCCTGAAATCAAGTTCTACAACACAAATCCTTATTATTATTATTCAATAGGCTAAACAAAATAAATTCATTATTTTTAATAACAGTTAAGATTTAATGTGATTTTACTTGTAATATAAATTAGGGCTGTGGAAATTAAATATTAATTAAATGATTAATCGCTAAATCTTTTTAACGTTTAATGGAATAACAATCGATTTCCAAATTTTTCGCCCATCACTAACATGATATAAAAAACTGAAGTGCTTGTCAGACGATTCAAAAGAACAAACTTGGTTACTTATTGGACAACATATAATAATAATAATAAGACGTCTTATATAGCGCGGTACCCCAGCCTAGGGCTGGGCTCACCGCGCTGTACATACAAATAGCAGTTACTCTGAATGATTTTCAGTTGCAGACTAATGAAATACTGACATTTATACGAGAAAAAGCATGTTAATTATATATCAAACCTTTGACTTTGTCCATATCTGTGCCTAAAGAAGTTTTTTTAAATATAATCGTAAATAACTATCATAGTTAATTAAATAAAAGTTATACATTAAAATTAAATTAATTCTTACCAGTCCAAATATAAAAATAAATGTATATTATCAGCAAAGAGAGGGGGGGGGGCGCAATAATACTAACACTGACAGAGTGAGTGTGTTTTTACTTCCTCAATTACTGATTACTCAGCTGTGTTAGCAATCACACTACCTTTATGTGATAGAAGTCAAGTTTCTTGAATGCAGCATTATTTGATTAAAATTAAAGTATAAGTTAATTGAAATTGAATGCAGCCTTTCAATGTCCAACAAGAAAAGGTTCCCAACCCCTGACTTGTTATGTCTGCCTCTTAGTCTTATTTAAATTTAAGGAATTATTTCTAACAATCACAATATTATGCTAAATACTGTCAGTGCACTAAGCTACAAAGTAGTTAACACATAGATGAGATTGACAATGTCAATATCTCATTATCATTATTAATAATGTCATTAACTGTCATTAACTAAATAAGAAACTAAAACAAACTTACATCCCAAAAATGATCATCTTCTGGTATTTCAAACATACTAGTATTTGTATGTTAGGCTTAGCCTACATTTAAGAACAATAAAATATCAATGTCTTTATTTAATAATCAAGACTTATACATTTTAAAATTATAGTAGCAAACATGATTTTTATCATAAATAATCTTGTTTATACGTGCCGCCTTCTTATCTGCCATGAAAATATAAGGTTTAACCATAATATGCCAGCATTTCTCTGAATTAGTTAAATTAAACGTAACCACTAAACAAATATATAAATAATTGACAAGTACAAACTAAAGCAATTTCGCATATATCATATAATTAATCTCTAGATTAAGTTTTCATGAAAAATATTATGGTTAAATATTAATATAAATTTCTTATTGATATTTATTTTCAAATACGTCATTTATCCAATGGAAATGATGTAGGTGCCAAATTATTTTTTTTAACAAATTGGCAATAGCATTACTAATAACTTAGCGCATCATAGTTACTAGCTGTTTAAAAATTACTATTATTATTTTTTTTACAGTAGTCTCCCCTATATTGACACTATACTAGAATTTATTTCCAAATTGTCGTTTTAGTTTTAGTCAAAGTGCTTTAAACCTATTTAAGTTTAAAATAATTTATACAATACTAATTTAATGACTAATAAATACTAAGATATTTTAAATTTAATTATTTTACCTGCGCAAAATGGCAATTTATTGAAAGAACAAAATTACTAAAAAGTGTCTAATAAAGTCTAAGTCAAAAAGTGCAACAAATAGAAAGTCTTCAGAAGAGAACATTTGGTTGCCACAATTGAGCCACAACAAACAAAAATTAAATATCAATCTCGAAAAAGAGCCACACATTTAAGAAATAAATGTATTGAATTCATTGCCCCTTCTTTTGCATGAATTTGATTCAAATTTTGAATGAACCCATTAATCTCCTATGCCTATATGACTACGAGATGGGAGTATGCAAGAGAATGAGTTAAAACCTGAATTCGAGCGGGTGCAAAATAGTTGGAGAAACTCTGCCTTTGATCTTATCTTAGAGACTACCCCCCCCCACACACACACACACAAAATTAAATGAAAATTAAATATAAAAAAAATATAATCTTCTGAATGTCCCAGTGTATAGCCTTCGATCCACTTCTCACTTTGGCAAACGCTGATCTTAGGACTGCTTCCCAGTTACTTCGTCATCAGGTTAGACATCGTCTATCTGTGTAACATGCTAGTAACTTTCTATCTTTAGGCCTCACATTACGAGTCTCAAGAGTCAGCTTGAAGGATTACAGGCAGCCAAAGACGAAGAGACGTGTTTTTGATACTCCTGTTCTAAGGATGTTTTAATCCAAGTTTTTTCAGTATGTAGGCCTAGGCCTAATAATAATACTACCTACACATGAATCCACGCGAGATTTGGTCAGTGATATTAACAAAACGTTTCTAGGATAATTTTTTTATTTAACAAAAAATCCCTAGTCAGGATGACACATCAAAAATGTCATGGCGTTATCAGAAAATGACGATTTGTTTAGAACAGTGGTCCTCAAACTACGGCCCTCGGGCCAGGTCCGGACCGCCAGCGGTCATGCAATCCGGCCCGCCTGGCCACCAAAAAGATAACTGGCTAGCAGTGACAAATATGGAACTGTAGGCTACATTGATCATCTCATTTACAAAAAATCAGGGTCTTACTTCCCTTTGGTTATTTTTGCTTTATTTTAAATATGGCATTGTTTTTCAACGGTTTTCCCACCACTACAAATAAGATATGAGCAGTATGCATAGAATTCGTTTATATTATTTCAAACTTTAGTCTGGCCCCCAACAATGTCTAACGGACGCTAATCCGCCCCCCCCCCCCCCTTTGAAAAGTTTGAGGACCCCTGGTTTAGGATATCCCTAACTAAAGGTTACTCTTGTGTTTCACTAAATAGCAGTATTGACAGAGTTATCTCTTCCGCTGATAAAAATATTTAAAAATGTAAAAGCTCCTGAGCTATAAAAAAGATTATGTTAAAATAAATATTTTGATATTGCTATTGATTTCTCTTAGATATGTTCCACGCACTAGTCATTTTAAAAATAATGTATTTTGCATGAAAAAACCCCCCAAAAAATAAAGATTCTAGGTGATCTCTATTAATATTCATTTACTATAACATTGTTTGCTGGGGAAGGGGTAGGCAAACCTGGCTGCCTCTGAATAATGTCTACTGTCGGCGTTATCGCGCACTCTGTATTTAAACAGCAACAATAGATGCTGATATCAATAACCGAATTTCCAAAGCAAATTTTGCATTTGGAGAGCTCTGTAGGAGTGTGTTGGAGCGAAGGGGTCCCAAGCTTGTCACTCAGCCGAAGGTATATAGGGCAATCGAATCAACATCACTTCCATAGGCCAACGAGAAGTGGACAGTGGACAGCAGACATGCCGGACTGCTAAACAAGCTCCATCGACGCTGCCTACGTCAGCTTCTTGGCATAAGATGGCAGGACAGAGTCCCTGATGCAGAGGTCCCACAACGGACCGATTGTATCAGCATCCACACAGATTATACAGAAAAGGACAAGCCAGATGGGCGGGGCATGTCGCAAGAATGCCAGACAGCAGAATTCCCATACGACTAATTTTCGGTGAACTCTCCAGTGTGAAGCGCTCAGTTTGAGGTGGGGGGGGGGGGGGGGGGGGGGGCTGAAAAATTGAATCTCGCCACATGGCGCCAAACACTCTAGCTACCGGTATGTCTCTACAATACTGCAGCTGATGTACCTGCTGTTTTCAGTTGATTATAACAACACATTAGAGACATCTGTATAAGCAGAAAACCACAGCCCTGATTACACCTGCTAGAAGGGGGGGCTTTATCTTCATCGCTTTAGGATGAATAACTCAACAAGGTAACAATTACAACATGAAATGTTGGGAGTTTGAATGGGCTGAGAGCTAGTTTCTGACCCGGGTCATCCAGACAACACAACGCAGACCCAATGTGAACGTTCACGTTATTATTGGGAACGGCATGTTACAAAGTTGGATTCTATCCAATCGAGAGATTTATAAAAAAAACAAAAACTGGGCCTATGTATGTTGCAAAATGTGGCGCTAGATAAGAGACGGTGTACTGCCACTATATAAATACTTTGAGATAGCTGATTTAGTTGTAATGTTTTGACGATTCCGACGTCTCACAAATTTAAGTTCTCTGTTATAGGTATGTGCTTGTGTTAAGCGTATGGATTATTTTGTGTCGAAAATTGCAGATAAAATTTAATTAAAATTGATCTAAAAGCTATAACACAATATCTTGTTGTTTTTTTTCAATTCACCGCATTGCGTCCATAATTTTGCAAAAATATGTTTTAGCTATAATCATAATTAAAACAGAGATGAACAAGTTTTGAAAGTGTATTTATGTTATTGGAATAATCTTGTTCTATGGGTTCCCCATTTATTTATTTTTTTTTAAATTAAAAAAAAATTGTCTTTTATAACAATCACGTTATCCATCTTATTGCAGTCTTTGAAGAGTCTCGAACTAAATCTTTATTTAAATGTACGCATGCCATGTAGACATTTTAACAATGAGTACTGTTGATGTATCTGTATCGACTGTGTCACATGTGATACACATGAAGCCCCGGCGTTAAACGTATACAGGAAATGATGTCATGTAGAAATACGCTGAATACCCCAAATTGGATTAAATCGTCTCCAAGACTTTCTTGTACATGCATTTTTTCAGCATAGCATAAAATGGCGCCACAGAATATCAAACTGACCTACTTTAACGGTCGTGGGCGTATCGAAGTGTCCCGGCTGGTCCTTGTCGCCGCGGGGAAAGAGTTTGAAGACGTGAGGGTTCCGGAATTCACAGCAGACCTCAAAGCCAGTGAGTAGCATTAGAGACCAGGTCTTTCAGTGTGTCAGCTGTTTGTCAGTCGTGGGTCGATTGCGTGTCAGTTGGTGTAAGTTGTGTGTCAGTCGTGTGCCATTTCTAGGCATTAGAAGGATTTCAGAAACTTCTTGGATTGCGGAGTTCAATGGGAAATTTTTAAAACCTCTAAGATTTATTGGAATAGAATTTTGAAGCGATTACGAAGATCCTTAACATACAGTTTAAAAACATGTTTTAACGTCCAAAATAGCTGTCATTTTGGTGGACCCTTATCTTGGCGTCTATGGCAGCTTTTGTGGTCCATTAAGCTTTTATATTTCAGGGAAATTAGAATACTTTATTTACACGTATTAGTCTGAAGCAACATGTTGAAATGAAAAAAAAATAAAAACTTGTCTATAACCGGGGATTCTCGTGATTGTAGAATTTCCCTGGACATTTTCTATATACTAAACATTGATCACGATTCTCCTTCTGGGTTATGTCATGTATTTTATTGGACTTAAGCGCACCCTTGTACCAAATAAAGTAATAGTGAAAGCACAAGCCTAACATTATATTAAAGAAAATCTTGTATTCCCCAGAGACGCCATTTGGTCAACTTCCTCTGCTTGAAGTCGATGGTGAGGTCTTTGCACAGAGTGTAGCCATTGCTACATATCTAGCCCGTGAATTTGGTCAGTTGGAATCTAAATTATAATCTATGTTATAATCTGTGTTGTAATCTATCTTATAATCTATCTTATGATCTATCTTTTGTATGATCTGAACAAATGATCCGTGTGGTTCAGAAATGTATTTATTACAATTAAGTTAAAAATAATGATCAACAGTAGATTTTTGAACCACATGGAATATTTGTACATGCCTTTACAAGGTAGGCTGTGTCAGGTGTCTGTACAAGGTAGGCTGTGTCAGGTGTCTGTACAAGGTAGGCTGTGTCAGGTGTCTGTACAAGGTAGGCTGTTAAAATGTAATTGACAATGACGATAAACGACTGCCTTACACAGACACCCGGCAATTTTGTGTTTTCGAACGATGGAAATATATACCAGAAATATACATCTAAATAGCTTCACTTGTCTGCTTGTTTTCTGCTCCACGTGGTTTTGAACTAAGTTACATAATGGCAAACTGAGTTACATAGTGGCAAATCTAAGTTAAATAATGGTAAATATAATTGAAGTTTGACCAAAACAATTAAAGTTGTTCAGTTCAATTATGTATTGTTTGTATTTAAAAAAAAATATATGTATATTTTGTTTACAACCAGTCTGTTTTACTTTAACAATGTCGCTGATCTTGAATCATTAATCTCAGGTCTGTATGGCAAAACTAACCTGGACGGACTTAGGATTGACCAGGTCGTTCAACTTGTTCAAGAAATCCTGAATGCAGGGTACAAAGCTTACCTGTTCACAGCTGATGAGACCCAGAAGGTAAATGTTACGCCCAACAACTGGCATCTTAGACATGACATGGGTGTCAGACGATCAGTTTATCATGATAGAATTCTCAATGACTTAAGCTAACTTCGCATAATAGTGATGCCTTGTGTTCAACTCAATTCTTATAAACTGCGTGTGGCATGCAGGCAAAACGACAACGGTACCATAATTAATGTGCGGTACCTTACGCTAAATACTATTTAATGAAGGAATGCCACACAGCTCAATCAAACAAAGACATTAAACATCCAAGCAATATCTTTGTATGAAATTTCTGAGATGAGTAAAACAATCTAAGATATACAAGGATGGTTTAATTAATGTAGAAACCGAACTGTTTGAATTTTTATGCACCACACTATTACCACACTCATACCACACTGTTACCACACTCATACCACACTGTTACCACACTCATACCACACTGTTACCACACTCATACCACACTGTTACCACACTCATACCACACTGTTACCACACTCATACCACACTGTTACCACACTCATACCACACTGTTACCACACTCATACCACACTGTTACCACACTCATACCACACTGTTACCACACTCATACCACACTGTTACCACACTCATACCACACTGTTACCACACTCATACCACACTGTTACCACACTCATACCACACTGTTACCACACTCATACCACACTGTTACCACACTCATACCACACTGTTACCACACTCATACCACACTGTTACCACACTATTCCTGTCAAATTATTATGGTTTCTCACCTTACTTGCTTAAAAAAAAATAAATAATTCATTTGGTTAAAATTTAATGTCGGTATGACTCTAAACTGATACAATTACTTATAGATGTAATTAACCTACTGGTTGCATTGTATCTATTTTGTACAGGCTCAGCTCATCAAGGAGCTGAAGGAGAAAGAGTTCCCACGTTATTTGGAATACTTTGAAAACCTTCTAAAAAACAATGGCACGGGTTACTTTGTTGGTGATTCGGTAAGTTGTACATTTAATTTAAAAATTAAAAGACCATCCTTTCCAATGACAATCAAAGTTGGATTATACATTTCTTCTTACAACAGCAAGGGTGACCAAAGTTTTGTTGTCGTTGTCGAAGATTTGGCGTCGTAACAAGGCCGTGATCTTATCTAACAACCCTTAAAGACAAAGCTCTTCGTAAAAACCCTTTCAATGAATTTCTTATTATTTTATGTTGTATTAATTTTCTAATGTCCCACCCGATTTTTTAAACCCCATTTTTATTTCACCAACTATTTCAGAAAACAAAAGAAAATATTACGCAATAAAAGCACAAGAAATATTTATTTTTTTTAAATGTAAGAATTTCATTTTACGCAGTTATCGGGAATTTTAGCTCGTGAAATCAGTGTCATCATATTTGCTTCATCTTCCCCTTGAAAAAAAGGGAACAACTTTTTTTTTTGGGGGGGAGTGGGGGTGAGGGGCTGAAAATGTGTTGAATGTGTTGTCATTGGCAACGAGTCTATGTGTGCCAAGTTTCAGCTCGATAGGTTGTCGTCAAGTGAGCCAATTAGCCGTCCGCATATTTTGCTCCAAACTCTCAACACGGAAAAAAGTAAAATAAATATTGATTTAAGAAACAAAGAAATAAGTTCAGCAACAATCACGGTTTGGCTTATCATCAGCAGTTACTAACAGCTCGACACAACTATGTGCTTGTATGAAAACAGTGTAAATAAATGCCTGATAAGCAACAACGATAAACTAGCAAAAACTCCGATGCCTTTTTCAAAATATTATATAATTATTATAACTCTACTCCACTCATCTCAGTGTTAAAAAAATTCTTTTTGGCATTCATTGATTGAAATTTCCTCCAATTTTACAAAATCATCATCAAAATGATTCCCACTCATTCAGCTAACGTCCACTGTTCATTGCAGTTAACCCTTGCTGACCTGATCGTGTATGACGTCGCCTTCGCTTTCATCCAGCGTGGATTCGGCATCAGTGGTTACCCACTGGTTGAGGCCCTGTACTCGTCGGTGGAAAGTCATCCAAGAATTAAGCCATACGTTGCTCAGAGGCAACCCACGCCAAACTAAGACAACATTCTTTCTTTAAAAAATAATTAATTTAGAATTTAAATAATTAAGAAACAAGAAAAAAACTCGCACATGAATTACATTTTTCAAGATCTTAACTTTTATATTAAAATATTTTTTTCAATTTTATTATTTAAAAAAAAATTTATTTCATTATTCAAATGAATTTTAGGTTGTGTTTTATTTTTAAGTTAGCAGAGACTAGAGATTGGCCTGATTAAGTTAGCAGAGACTAGAGATTGTCCTGATTAAGTTAGCACAGACTAGAGATTGACCTGATTAAGTTAGCAGAGGCTAGAGATTGACCTGATTAAGTTAGCAGAGACTAGAGATTGACCTGATTAAGTTAGCAGAGGCTAGAGATTGATCTAATTAAGTTAGCAGAGACTAGAGATTGACCTGATTAAGTTAGCAGAGACTAGAGATTGACCTGATTAAGTTAGCGGAGGCTAGAGATTGACCTGATTAAGTTAGCAGAGACTAGATATTGACCTGATTAAGTTAGCAGAGACTGGAGATTGACCTGATTAAGTTAGCAGAGACTAGAGATTGACCTGATTAAGTTAGCAGAGGCTAGAGATTGATCCGACAAAGTAAATGAAATAATGAAAATAATGTATTTTTACATTCCAATATATATATATATATATATTTTAGCATCAATGATTTTATTTAAATATGCGTTCGGAAAGGTCAATGTCATGCTTGATGTAATACTAAAATAAATCGATATTATTAAGTAAGCTCTATCAGGTAATAATCGGGGTGGGTGGTTGCCCACACGCCCAATGTTTTAAGGGTCGAGACCATTGATTCGTAATTCACAGTTGCCACATAACATCGACAGTTACATAAGAGGAATATCAAATTTTTTGTTTTTGAATTCATTTCCGTCAACTATGTATCACTAGCTTGCTTAAAAATATATATAATATATCGGCACTTAATGGGACACTTAAGGCAAAGTACGACACATCTGAGCCTGCACAGTTCCCTTGTTTCATTCCTGAAAAGATGCCCCAGCTTCGTGTACATTCGGCTCAAACCTTCAGCATGTTGGGTAGCACAAATATGTGTGAGAAGCTGTTTTCTGTGATGAAGATTAACAAAACATCACACTTGCAGCCCATCATGAGAATCTCAATGACACAGAACGTTTCTTCCAACATAAACGAACTTACTTGATTTTGTAGCCAAGAAAATGTGCCAAACATCCAGCTCTGACAAATTGGCATAAGAACAAAAATGGTTATTCCAGTGATTTTTAATTATTAAATTATTTTTTTCAGTGTTCATTCATATAAAAGTTTTTTTTAAAGTTTTAATTGTCTGCTTATTGAATGTTTATCCTGTTCGGCCCACAACCTTACATGTGATTTTAGTTTTGGCGCGCCGAGCGATTGAGTTTGACACCCCTGATCTAGATTGTATTTTCTGACATAAGCAAAAATCCGTTAGATCCAGATTAAAAAAATCTCAATTGTCGACACTGGTCCTAGAATTATGGTACTGAAGGAAATCCATTCAAACATTTAGCGTTAAAACAAATACTTGAAGTACTACGCACTGGCAATGTTGGGAATCAAACAAAAAAATAATTTTTTAGTAATTTCTTGAGGTTATTTTGTGACTCAAGGGAAACAATCTATTCAATTAACTGAAAATAAAATATTATTTAAAAGAGTTATGTACCCTAGTGTTTTTAATCGAGCACAACGCTTTTATAGATATAAATATACTATAATATTAATCGAAAAGATAGTAATATATTATATTATAATAAAGTTAATAGAAAATAATATACTATAATGTAATAAAATTAAAAGTTAGTTGTATAATATAAGAAAATAAATTTAATAGATATTAAAATACTATAATATAGAACATTTAACAGGCAGTAATAGACTAAAATATAAAACATTTAAAATTAACTATTATGATTTTAGGTTATAATTTTAACAATTTTATGGAAGCTCAAGTGTTGTAAGCAGCTTCATTATTTTTAACCTATTAATTAACACCAAAAAAAAAAAAAAGAAGTTTTTCACAAGAAATGTTGATTTTTTTTTTTCATAATTGTCCGATAATAGTGCTTCACAATGACTTTTAGGTTATAATTTTAACAATTTTATGGAAGCTCAATTGTTGTAAACAGCTTCATTATTTTTAAACTATTAATTAACACCAAAAAAAAAAAAAAGAAGTTTTTCACAAGAAATGTTGATTTTTTTTTTTCATAATTGTCCGATAATAGTGCTTCACAATGACGAAAAAATTCATTATCACAAACTAAGTCAGGGAATAGTCAAAATAAGCAGACATTCATTCCAAACTTAAGGGTTTTTATTCTCGGTCTTATCAAAGGTATGCTCCCTTACCTTTTCATTTCAAATTTTAAAAAAACTCACTTAGCCAATCTGATTAACTGATTTTTTATATTTTTTTTTTTTTTTAAAACTTGACTCACACCATCATAATTCAGCATTCTATGAGAAGTCGATAAAATAAAGACTTTCGATTATCTCAATTATTTCACAACCAATTTTTTTTATTAATTAGAAACCCCCAAGATTTTTTTATTCTTGTTAATTTAATATCTAGAGCTCATCCAGATAGAATTAATGAGATGCACATTTATCAACTCTCTTGTGTGCCACCCCCCCTCCCCCGGGGTCGAAACAAGCCTTGAACTTATTTTAAAATTTACAAATATTGTATCATTATAAGTGTCTTTGTTGCAGTTTAGCGAGCGCTGAGCAGGAATGCGTTGCTCTAATATAATACTCTCTGCAGAAGTCACAAACAATTACGTTGGATATTTTTTTTTTTAGACATTCTTAGACATTTTTAATTCAATACTGCATAATAATATATTTATCTAAGCCGCTGATTATAAGAGATCGGCCTACTCAGAGAGAGTGTGTGTGTGGTGGTGGAGAAATGTGTCTGTTGAGTTGTTGCATACAACCAACGCATATCCGCTAATTCTATGGGAGCTGGAGCAGCATGCCAAGAAGGAGATTTAATCGGATTACTTTCTTTTAATGGTGTTCGCAATAGTATTGCAAGCTCTTGTAAGGTAACCAGCATGCATCAGGGCTAGCATTGGAAGGTCTTATGTCTTGTGACGTAGCCAGCATGCACGAGGGCGGACCTGAAAACGCCAATAAAATCAATCAGCCAGAAATCGATAACCTAATGCGATGTTGAAGACGGGAATAGTTTGTTCTAGAAGAAAGTTATTGAATGCGTCAAGATGAATGCGGCAAGATGAGTGCGCCAAGATGAGTGCGCCAAGATGCAAGACTAACGGAAAAAAGGGGGGGGGGTGTAATGTTAATATGGATGGGTGTGTCATAGGAGAGGGGCGCAAAGGGTGGCACTGTTTTCTATTATTGAGGGCGGGATTTTCGTCAAAATATAGAGTTTTAAAAGTTTTTCGTTGAAAAAGGGGCGTGGGGGGGGGGAAACGCCCAGTCACCAATCATAACTGTTCCACTGTAAGGAAGGGTACTAGTGACCTTCTGTAATTGATTTCTAGAATGGTGATGGCCTACTTTTACATTCTGTGCAAAACATTCAGGCGAGATAATAGGTCACTCATTGATCCTATGTTTACATACACCTATATGATGTGGTTCAATGTACGACGTAATGCCGTCTCGAGGTGTTTTCATAGTTAAAGAAAGCTAACCTTATAATAAGTGTCTTTGTGGCAGTTTAGCGAACGCTGAGCAGGAATGTGTTGCTCTAATATAATACTCTCTGCACAAGTCACAAACAATTACGTTGGATTTTTTTTTCCTCTTAAAAAAAACTTTTTTTTCCCTTTGTTGTTGTTTTCTTACATTGCCTGCACATGTTAAGTCCATGATAAGATGGACACACACAACTGGACACACAAATGGGCTTTATTTATTTATTTTTTTTTTTTGCTGTACATCCAGGAATTGGTTTTAGTTGTGTACTAGAGTATAAAGTCCATGTCATAGTTATTTTATTATTAATTTAGTAGTTTAATGTGTAGTATCAAATAGAATGTTACAGTTATGTGAGGTTTTTCAGGTAACTGCAATCACTATGCATTAAACAGTGTTGAAGTTTTTCGAACCAGCAATCTCATAATCAATACACGAGTTCAATCTTTACACACACAGAAACTTCAATAGCAGTCGTGACGCAGCGAAATTTCTGCCTCATCATGGCTACCAGCTACTAGCAGGTTCTTTTCTACTCGCATGGATTGAAAGCCGCAGGACGGCATTAAGGGGGCTTGTATCCCGTGCGGTAGTTGTGGAAAAGTTTGTTTGTTTCTTTTTTTTTTTTTTTTTAAGAAGTTCCAGAACTGGGGGTTGAAATTCAATCAATAATAAAATAATTCTTTAACACTGCACTATGTGTTTACACTTGCATAATTAGATTCCAACAAAAAAACTACCCTATAACTGAGTTGATTTTTCCGAGCAGAGGTCATTCACCTTGTGACCTGTGTTTCCGAGCAGAGGTGAAGGTTGAACTCGTTACTTATCGTCTGCAGACCATCGAGCTCAAAATGTTTAAAATTCATTTACGGTTTTGGAAAATTGATTTATTGATTAATGATATTCTAGATACTCAAAGAATCATGTCACATGTAGGCCTACGCGTATGGTCATTGAAACATGTGCACGTAGTCCGCAGGGGTCACTGAAACATGTAGCCTCCACGCAGGGGTCACTGAAACTTGTAGCCTCCACGCAGGGGTCACTGAAACATGTAGCCTCCACGCAGGGGTCACTGAAACATGAAGCCTCCACGCAGGGGTCACTGAAACAGGTAGCCTACACGCAGGGGTCACTGAAACATGTAGCCAACACGCAGAGGTCTCTGTACACGTCACTGTGACTAAAACATGAACAAGTGTAGGGAGGGGGGTGTTCATGAACAGTTGTTAGCTCAAATATTCTTGTAATCTAGACTTAATTTGTGATTGTATAAGGATATTGAAGGACAAATAGAGTGGTGACTGAAGCTGACTACCTAGTGTTGTGATCCATGGTCTATTGAAGGACAAATAGAGTGGTAACTGAAGCTGACTACCTAGTGTTGTGATCCATGGTCTATTGAAGGACGAATAGAGTGGTGACTGAAGCTGACTACCTAGTGTTGTGATCCATGGTCTATTGAAGGACACCGCCATTTAATAGTGCAGTGCGGAGACCTGTCAACACACACACTCTCCACCCCAAACTGGTCACCTGTCCTAGCTGGGAACCAACTTTGTCGACCAAAGTACATTGGCCTTGAACTGTGCCGGCCGGTATTCGAATATCTCATTGTTACACTTTTGCTTGGGACGTGTTTCCAGTTGGTTCTAGAAAATATCGGCAGTCGAATAGAAAAAATATCTCCCTGAATGGGTTTGTGGGGGGACGATGTTGTATGTGTGTGTGGGGGGGGGGCAAAGCTCTGATATTTACTTTAGAGAGTATTTTTTTCATAACCTTGTTCCCTCGAGTTCAATATAAAAAAACCCACAAAATTACAAAACATCAGATATTAGTGTATGTATGTCTGTATAAAAAGACATAAAACTAGAGTAATACAGAAAATTTTATCCGGGCGGAGAGTTCTAAAGTCTGTAGTCAGACCGACATAAAGATGCAGAAAGACAGATAGAAAACTGTATTGAGGCAGACAGCTCCAGCTAGACCGACAAAAAAAACTGTAGGCTACTTATTGTTAGACGGACAGAGAATTTTATGCAGACAGACAGCTGCAGATAGACGAAAAGCTGAAGTTAGACCGGCATGAAGCTATAGTTTGACAAATGGAAGCTATAGTAAGATTTTTAAAAATGTATATCTGTAGCTTAACAGATCGGTGTAGTTAGACACTCTGATATCTGTAGATAGAAAGATCACTGCAGTTAGCCGGGCGGATAAACGTAGTTAGACAGACCGATCGCTGTCGATAGACATACAACTGTAATGAGCATCGTAGTTAGGCAGACAGAGAGCTACAATCAACTGCGCTGAAACATGCCCTGACATTTATTGCCCAATTACTGTTGGACACGAAAGACCACTTTGAAAATGTCAACAACCGGTAGTCCATGCTTCTCATGGGGCTCTCGAGTTCTAAATATACTACTCTGATTTAAAGCATCTAACTCTCTTTTATCTCTTTCTCACTCGCCTCACATTCTCTTTCTCTCTCACCCTCCCTCCGGGCGGGACTCTCCCTCCCGTCCCACTCTTTTCTCTCATTCCGCTCCCATTTTACTCTATCCTCTCTTAAATCACTTGCTGGACTTCTCTGTCTGTCCTGTCATCTTCTCTGTCTGTTCCGCCATCTTCTCTGTTTGTCCTGCCATATTCCATATCTGTCCTATCATTTTCTCTGTCTGTCTTGTCATGTTTTCTGTCTGTCCTGTCATCTTCTCTTTCTGACCTGCCATATTCTCTATCTGTCCTTGCATCTTCTCTTTCTGTCCTTCCATCTTCTCTGTATGTCCTGTCATCTTCTCTGTCTGTCCTGTCATCGACTCTTTCTGTCCTGTCATCTTCTCTTTCTGTCCTGTCATCTTCTCTGTCTGTACTGTCATCTTCTCTGTCTGCCCTATTTAAAAAATAAAAATAAAAAACACAGAGAACACCACAAATAACAAATGCATGAGAACCACTGTTCAGTTGGCTTGACCTGTCACCTAAACACACCAGCAATCTGCAGCGTCTCTGCGTGGTGTCCCTTCGTCCCCTCAAAGCTAATATTTAATGGGAATCCCTTCTGGGCTGCTAGTTAAACAGTTATCTGTTACCACAGGACAACAGCGTGTTGTATTTGTATTGTTAAGGGGACCAAGCCACTACAGTCTCACTCATCCACCTCTCACTGTGTTGGCTGCAATCATCGCCAATCTCACGACCTGTTCAACCGTTAGTCTTACAACACGAGGTAAGTACATTCCAGGTTTGTGATACTAGTGTCCAGCACTTCATGTAGTCATGGTAACTATGAGCTTGTATGTTATATAGAGAGCTTCAATTAACCTGGACATAGGGGCATGGGCGCCAGCAGGTAGGGGCAAGGGGGGCACTCCCCCCCCCCTGGATTGATTGGATACAAATTTTTTAGACAAAAATTAGACCAAAAATTTATTAAAGTAAAGAGAAAATAAAGAGAAAGTAACTAAGCTGATGTCCTGTCCGTTCGTTCACCATACAAATACGCTACAGTAAATTAAAACTATATTAAAACATTACTAAACATGTTTCCCATCCCCAGGAAAGTTAATCGATTTTTTTGCCCCCCCCCCCACCAGAAAGTTTTCTGCGGGCGCCCAAGCATAGGGTTATATATAGAGAGCTTCAATTGCACTGGACATTGGGGATCTATAGAGCTTCAATTGAACTGGTCATTGGGGATATATAGAGAGCTTCAATTGAACTGGACATTGGGGATATATANTAAACATTTTCCCCATCCCCAGGAAAGTTAATTGATTTTTTTCCCCCCCCCCCCCCACCAGAAAGTTTTCTGCGGGCGCCCAAGCATAGGGTTATATATAGAGAGCTTCAATTGAACTGGACATTGGGGATATATAGAGCTTCAATTGAACTGGTCATTGGGGATATATAGAGAGCTTCAATTGAACTGGACATTGGGGATATATAGAGCTTCAATTGAACTGGTCATTGGGGATATATAGAGAGCTTCAATTGAACTGGACATTGGGGATATATAGAGAGCTTCAATTGAACTGGAGATAATATGTTTAGTTGAACTTAGACACACAATGTCGATATGGGAGGATAATCTGTTTGGATTGTGGCTTAAGCTTCATATCATATCGCAGGGTTCGGCAACCTTTTGGTCATATTATTCGCTATAGATATCGGGCTTATTCAGAGTGAAAACAACCTATTGGTTGAAATTATAAGACGCCATCTTGGATTTGTTATTTTTATTTTTTTTATTTTGGCCGTCCGCATACATTTGAAAATCGCGTTCCGCCATATTGGCATGTCTTTGCCATCATAGTGCCATGTCTTTGCCATCATAGTGCCATGTCTTTGCCATCATAGTGCCATGTCTTTGCCATCATAGTGCCATGTCTTTGCCATCATAGTGCCATGTCTTTGCCATCATAGTGCCATGTCTTTGCCATCATAGTGCCATGTCTTTGCCATCATAGTGCCATGTCTTTGCCATCATAGTGCCATGTCTTTGCCATCATAGTGCCATGTCTTTGCCATCATAGTGCCATGTCTTTGCCATCATAGTGCCATGTCTTTGCCATCATAGTGCCATGTCTTTGCCATCATAGTGCCATGTCTTTGCCATCATAGTGCCATGTCTTTGCCATCATAGTGCCATTTTATGCCATCATAGTGCTATTTTATGCCATCATAGTACTGTGTCTGTGCAATCATAGTGCCATGTCTATGCCGCCATAGTGCTATTTTATGCCATCATAGTACTGTGTCTGTGCAATCATAGTGCCATGTCTATGCCATCATAGTGCTATTTTATGCCATCATAGTACTGTGTCTGTGCAATCATAGTGCATTGTCCGCAGCTGCTGATATCGCTCCCTAACCATCTTAGTCATGATTACCTTTTCATTCTCCATGCACGTGTGCGATGCTCACCTGCTGTACACCTGTTGCACACCTTCTCACCGTTGTGTCCATAAATGACCTTATGACACAACACTTGGAATTGTCCTTTTGCAATTCATTATTGTGGACCATTCAATTTTCTTCTGATCATTGTTAAAGTCTTCTTCTGGGCCCCTATCTAAACGAGTTCGCCCTTCTGTTACCCTGGCTTAGTTTTGAGGAGACATTAAGGCGGTCCTTGGTTCAATAATCCTCTACAGCAGTAGAGAGTATTATTAAAGCATAAGCATTTTAAAAAAACATTGCATTTTTAACAGTGTGGGTATGTCAGGTAGTTGATAAATAAGTCAAGATGTACTCCATGATACCATGGTTACAATTTAATTTCTAACTTCCATGCTCTCATAGAATCTTCCCAGGTAAAATTGTCATGTCTTATTATGATTGGCACGTGGCTGACACACACGTGGGAACGAAGGCTTAAGAAAGATTATTCCGTCATGCCTGGAGTGGCTTCTCTTATTATAAGTTCATGTCTTGACCAGTGGCGCGAAGTATACGTAATTTGTATCAATGTTTTTAAAGACATCACAAGGTTCGAAGTACTTTAGCTCCCAGTGCCACTACACACATTCTACTCCTAATTGACTGAGTACACTCTACTTTAACTCCCAGTGCCACTGCACACATTCTACTCGTAATTGACTGAGTACACTCTACTTTAGCTCCCAGTGTCACTACATACAATCTACTCCTAATTGACTGACTACAAACAACTTTTTAAACACATTTGCTAATATTCACATTTCTTTCTTTTTGGCTGGCGGAATGAAGTAGCCTACATGTACAATTTATGAACTTACTGGTTCCTTGATCCATACAAATACCATTTTAGGCACTGCAACGGCCAAATATTTACTTTATCTGTACAAAAACATGTTGTCTCCATCTGTACAGCAAACAGATTGTCTCCATCTGTACAACAAAAATGTCTACATGTCTTGTCCATTTCTGCATGTCTTGTCCATCTCTACATATCTCGTCCATCTCTACATGTCTTGTCCATCTCTACATGTCTTGTCCATTTCTGCATGTCTTGTCCATCTCTACATATCTCGTCCATCTCTACATGTCTTGTCCATCTCTACATGTCTTGTCCATTTCTGCATGTCTTGTCCATCTCTACATATCTCGTCCATCTCTACATGTCTTGTCCATCTCTACATGTCTTGTTCATCTTCTTGATCATTTCTGCATGTCTTGTCCATCTCTACATGTCCTGTCCATCTCTACATGTCCTGTCCATCTCTACATGTCCTGTCCATCTCTACATGTATTGTCCATCTCTGCATGTCTTGTCCATCTCTACATATCTTGTCCATCTCTACATGTCTTGTCCATCGCTACTTGTCTTGTTCATCTTCTTGTTCATCTCTGCATGTCTTGTCCATCTCTACATGTCCTGTCCATCTCTACATGTCTTGTCCATCTCTACATGTCCTGTCCATCTCTACATGTCTTGTTCATCTTCTTGTCCATCTCTACATGTCTTGTTCATCTTCTTGTTCATCTCTGCATGTCTTGTCCATCTCTACATGTACTGTCCATCTCTACATGTCTTGTCCATCTCTACATGTCTTGTCCATCTCTACATGTCTTGTCCATCTCTACATGTCCTGTCCATATCTGCATGTCTTGTCCATCTCCACATGTCTTGTCCATCTCTACATGTCTTATTCATCTTCTTGTTCATCTCTGCATGTCTTGTCCATCTCTACATGTCTTGTCCATCTCTACGTGTCTTGTCCATCTCTACATGCGCTGTCCATCTCTACATGTATTGTCCACCTCTGCATGTCTTGTCCATTTCTACATATCTTGTCCATCTCTACATGTCTTGTCCATCTCTACATGTCTTGTTCATCTTCTTGTTCATCTCTGCATGTCGTGTCCATTTCTACATGTCCTGTCCATCTCTGAATGTCTTGTCCATCTCCGCATGCCTTGTCCATCTCTACATGTCTTGTCCATCTCTACATGTCTTGTCCATCTCTACATGTCTTGTCCATCTCTACATGTCTTGTCCATTTCTACATGTCTTGTCCAATTTAAGCAAAGATGCTCGGGAACAAGCTGAGACTCATCTACTTCGACATCAGATCTCGTGCTGAAGTCTCGAGACTGCTGTTGGCAGCTGCAGGGCAGGAGTATGAAGATGTGAGAATCTCGCACGAGGAATGGGCGGACGAGAAACCAAGTAAGTACATTCAATGTTGGTTCACGCCTGTAAGGATCGAGCCTTAGGTCAACTTTAGTTTACAGTGTAAGTGTCTTATTGACTAGGTGAATTATTTGCAGTAGATGTATACATTACATGTTAAGTTTATAATTACATTACATAAGTTGAAACTTATCACCTTATCATGTGATTTATGTACGTACATCATATCATAAGTTGATACTTACATTACTTGATGAGTTGATACATACAATACATGATAAGTTCATGCACAAAATGATAAATGATATTTTTTTCAGAAACTCCGTTTGGACAAGTTCCGGTTCTAGAAGTTAATGGCAAGAAATATGCTCAAAGTGTTGCCATAGTAACCTATCTGGCAAGAGAATTCGGTGAGAAGAGTTTGTGATAAATTGTTAGGATAACATTAAGGATAAGTAGCAGTGGCGCATCTTGATCTTGTTTTTGGCTGAGCAGTGGCGCATCTTGATCTTGTTTTTGCTGAGCAGTGCAGCACCTTGTTCTTGTTTTTTTGCTGAGCAGTGCAGCACCTTGTTCTTGTTTTTTTGCTGAGCAGTGCAGCACCTTGATCTTGTTTTTTGCTGAGCAGTGCAGCACCTTGTTCTTGTTTTTTTGCTGAGCAGTGCAGCACCTTGTTCTTGTTTTTTTTGCTGAGCAGTGCAGCACCTTGTTCTTGTTTTTTTGCTGAGCAGTGCAGCACCTTGATCTTGTTTTTGGCTGAGCAGTGGCGCATCTTGATCTTGTTTTTGCTGAGCAGTGCAGCACCTTGTTCTTGTTTTTTTGCTGAGCAGTGCAGCACCTTGTTCTTGTTTTTTTGCTGAGCAGTGCAGCACCTTGATCTTGTTTTTTTGCTGAGCAGTGCAGCACCTTGTTCTTGTTTTTTTTTTGCTTAGCAGTGCAGCACCTTGTTCTTGTTTTTTTTGCTGAGCAGTGCAGCACCTTGTTCTTGTTTTTTTGCTGAGCAGTGCAGCACCTTGTTCTTGTTTTTGGCTGAGCAATGGCGCGCCTTGGCTTTGTTTTTATCTGAGCAGTGTGGAAATTGCCATGGCTGCAAATCGTTATATGTGGGGTTGGGTCCAATTTTGATTTGAAATATTGCATATAAACAACCAGAATTTTTAAAATTAAAAATTCTGTCATCCAGGTTTGTACGGCCAAACTAATTTAGACGGCCTGGAGATTGATCAGATTGTACAACTGAACCAAGACTTTAGAAATAAAGCTGTGACAGCGCTGAGAGAGCCAGATGAGACTAGGAAGGTGAGTAGTATCAACTGCGTTTTGTGTAAAAATTTATTTGGTACTTGAGACTAAAACCAGCTGTCATAACGCAATCAACACGACACTGATGACAGCTGTCATAACGCAATCAACACGACACTGATGACAGCTGTCATAACGCAATCAACACGACACTGATGACAGCTGTCATAACGCAATCAACACGACACTGATCACAGCTGTCATAACGCACTCTAAATCATACTTACGCGAGCCTCTATCTTTACTTATCATTCTTACTCAACAGAATGGTTCCTAATTTTCTTATAGAACACTGGACAACTGGTCAGGCCAGTATCTAAACCATCTGTCATTATCAGTCCACTGCCTCTCCCTAAAATGTATATTTTCTTACTATTCACTTCGGACTGGTTCCCACTAGAATCTTTCCGAACCTAAATTCACAAGGCCCTAGACTTTTTACCCTTATGTTTTACATCCAATCCTTGTGGTCTGATCCAATCAAGCCTTATGTATTTCAGCTAAGCCTTGTGTGGTCCTACCAAACCTTGTGTGGCCTAATCAGGCCCTGTGTGGTCCAACCAAGCCCTGTGTGGTCCAACCAAGCCCTGTGTGGTTCAACCAAGCCCTGTGTGGTTCAACCAAGCCATGTGTGGTCTAGCCAAGCCTTGTATGGTCTAGCCAAGCCCTGTATGGTCTAGTCAAGCCCTGTGTGGTCCAAACAAGACTTATATTTAGCTTTAAAAGTCTTATTTTTTGTTTAATTGACATCTTTCCCCAGGCTGAACTGCTCCAAAACGTCAAAGAAGTTGAAGGTCCCAAGTATTTGGGTTTTTTGGAGAAACTGTTGAAAGAGAGCGGCACTGGCTACTTTGTAGGGGAATCGGTAGGTATTATGACATCATGGTATGTCTTATCTGATCTCAGACTCTGTCTTGTTCGTCTCATCTGATCTCAGAGTCTGTCTCTTCCATTCTCTCATCTGATCTCAGACTCTGTCTTATTCAATTCAATGCTATTTGCATAAAAGCTACAATTTGACACAAAAGAGCAGAGTTATTCAATATTCATTTACTATTTTAATGTTAAATATTGGTAATGCAATTTATTTTCACAGTCCCGGTTTAAAAAATATTATAACAAATAAAGCAAACAAAGCTGTTTTATTGTCATTGTCTACAGAAGATGACAGTTTTCCATAGTTAAATTTACAAACTTACAAGTTTAGGAAACTTAACACTAAATGCACACATACAAACATACACGTTTTCGTATATTGAAATGATGTAGCAATGGAAACAAAATACACCACTAGCAATGGAAAAAAAATACACCACTATAATTTTTCTATGCTAGAAATAAACAGATAAATAATGGCGGTGGCTATTCTACTAAAATCACTGGACAAAACATGCATTCAAGTAAGCTACTTTATAAGAATCCCAACGAGGGTTATCTTTCGGGAAATTTTTTTTTTTTTTTTTTTTTTTTTTTTGTAAATTTTTTTTTTTTTTTTTTTTTTTTTTTTGCACGCTATTAAACACAGCGCTATTAAACACAGCGTTACTGTCATACACACACACACACCTAGAGAATTATTTATTATTAAAAATGTGCTTAAACCTCAATTACCGTCTAGAACTCAAGATTCCTAGAAAATTATCTTGGAGTCAGCAATTTTTTTTATTTCCATACAGCTTTGAGTACAAAAAAATTGTGCCCACTTCTGCATAACCCTGCTGTTTATTAGATAAAAAATATAGAGATAATTTTCAAAATTTTGAACCGTGCCTTTCTGTTGACAGTTGACACTGGCTGACATAAGCACATATGACAACGTCTACGCTTTCTCCGTCCGAGGTCCGCTCTGGAGTTGGCCAGACCCAGACTCCAAATATCCTCTGCTACAAGAGAATTACAACAGAGTGGAGAACGTGGAGAGAATAAAAGCTTACCTGGCCAACCGGAAGCCAGCAGACTTATAGAATGAAGACAGCATCTCCAGGGCCATAGATTCAAATGTTGACCACCCGGACAGCAGCTCTATGCAATTACCTTTTTCTGCATTCAACTTTGCTCTATCTGTTAGATTGGTCCATATGATCAAGAAGGCAGAATGTATCACATCTAGTCTACAATAAATTTAATACGGTGATTATATACAAATGAATGTTTGTAGTTATTATTTTACCATCTTTGAAGCTTTCTGGGAATTGAATGCTGGGTAGGAAGTTGTTGTGTTTGTTTACGTTGTGTTGTTTGTGTCGCAATCTAACGTGTACCAATAGATCGTAAACATTTCAAGTTAACTTCTGTTTTCAATGTGGTCAAATATGAATTTGCAACTCAGAGATTGCAGAGGTGCACATCCGGTGAAAACACTCAATTTTTAAACTAACGTTGGGCCATTTTTTTTAAGTCACACACACTGCGTATCATGAAGGAGGAAACGCAGAAATCAGATTTATTTAGATCAATTATTATATAGACCGTTAGATCTATTATTAGATTTATTATTAGATCTATCATTAGATGGATTATTAGAGGAATTATTAGATGGATTATTAGATAGATGAGAAATAACCCTCCAAACACTCGATGAGCTCCCCAGTTCATACAGATACTTGATAAAACGGTCATTGATGTGACGGACTCAATAAGATTTTCGTAAAATAAACAAAATTAACTAATCAGTTTATTTTAGAATCCAATTTAGGAATAGGAACACAGCGTTACAGCTGTTACAAAACTATTGTTACAAAACTATGATGTGTTGTAATTAATTAATGTACTGACCCAATTGTTAAAAGTATGGGTGTTTGCAATGTTTAATGTTTGTATTAACAAACAAAGGTCCCTTTCCTCTACGTTAGATTAGTACTGCTATTATGGTTATGTCTAGGGTACGATTAATTTCCTGATGAAGTATTCTACACTAATCCTACTTCACACTCACTCTATCATTCAATGAACTCTCACTAGCTCTCACTTGCAAGTCTAGTAATACTTTAACTATACTAATAAAACAAGAGTGGTTCAGCCCACAAATAAATATTTAATTATAAGAAAACAGAACTATCAGCATACAAATTACATATACTATACACATAAACAGGATAACAAGATACTGCCCAATATTATTGTATAGTAGGCTCTCAATGGCGATCTGGTCGAATAAGCAAGTCCCCACACACACACACCACAGCAGCCCTCTGCTCGGGTCACAACGTACTGCGGGGTTGGGCGGCTTGACTGCGTAAGTGTCTCCGGTCACTGGCACTGCGAGGAGGTAGGTGCCGACTTTGAACTTTACTGTGGGTAACACACACACAGTATATGCTACCGTCTTGTTGATTCCTTTGGCTTATCTCCTGCTAATAACTGCGACTCCTTTACTGAACTGTACTAGCTTTAGTTCCAGATATTATTTATTGAACTAGTACACCTCTGACCAAATATTTACTTTACAAATACTTTCTGGTCAAATATTCTTTACTGGCCAAATGTTACATACTGTAACTTATTTCATGTAATTTCTTCACTTTACTTTACTTCAGTTTACTTCACTTTACGTAACTTCAGTTTACTTCACTTTACGTAACTTCAGTTTACTTCACTTTACGTAACTATACTTTACTTAACTTTACTTAACTTTACTTAACTTTACTTAACTTTACTTAACTGGCTAGAAATGAGAATAATAAATACAATGCATAAGACATAGCTAAGAATTACAAATCACATCACATTATAAATTATTAATAGTTATCATATTCAAACATTAACAATAGTAACTATGGTCCTACCATTTTCTTAATAACATTACATCTACGACTCTACATACCAGTACATATGAATATGAAATAGAACAATACTAACCCGACACAATCGGATAAACACACTTTATCAGCTAATTATGCCAGCCAGGCTCTTCTGACATAATTCAGGTAAGAGAGGCCGATACATGATTTGGGCTTTCAATATATACTCTAAGTTTGGCGTGCTTGTCCCGCATTTAAGCGTGGCATCCCAGAGTCGTGTTTAAATGACTCACAAGCGTGGCTTCGGATTCCGTTACGCGTTGGTCATCAGAGTGACAACTCAGAGTTGGGACGCTTGATAAGAATGAGTGTATTGCTTAAACTGGGTCATGGCCAAAGTGAATAAGTTCATTTCCATTGTTATTTGAGTCTACTTGTATTATTTTAAGGCCCAGCCTAATTGTGTCATATCGCGTGGGGTAGCGCTGAACGCGTGGGGAAGCGATGGAGAGAGTGGAGCCAGCGGGTCTCACAAAGGTGAGGACCAGCGGGTCTCAACAACAGCCATACATACCTACAGAATGAGTGTTTCAGATACTTTTTCTAGAGTTGAACTTTTTTTTACCTCTCAAAATCGAAGAGTTCATGGAATGCACAGAAATTTACGCATTCGATGAGGAAAATGTCTATATGATCAGCGTGCAAAATATACAAGACGTTGATCATTATTAAAATTTGAATATTTTCTCGTTTCTGCATTTGCTCCATCACAATGTTGTCGCATGAAGGAAACCACAGCTGCACACGGAATGTAAGGGTTATTTTGTTTTTTTTCAAAACCATGAAAATGTTTTTTCGGCTCAATTTTCTCCATCTGAAGTTACAATTACAAGAACTGAACTATATTCATCAAGTTATTGATGTCAATTCTATTTAAATAAATTAAGACAAGGGTGACGTTATAATCTCCACACATAAAGCATTCGAACAAAGTTAGAGGTAAAAGTATTTATAACATAATGACCCATTACTTTATTAAAGATAATTAATAACTTTTGTGAACAATTCATTTTAACGTAATAGCCCCCCACAATGAAGAAGTATAGAGCTGTTCTATAAACTTCAAAGGAAACAGGCAGATTCGTCACTAGACTTTTGGAGGCCCCTTGCCATTTTTCGATGGTGTAACCCCTGCACACAAAGCTGGCGGCTTAAAGTTTGGTACATCCACTCCTTGGGTCGACGGCCAGGGACGACATTTGGGGAGGGCAGGGCGGGGCATCTGCCATCTCCTCTGAATTTGAAGGTTTTATTTACACTGCTAGGTACGCCCCTGTAAGCGGCTATGGGAAAAGATGACAATTCTTAAATAAGTTTTTTTTAAAAAAAGATATGTCTAGCTTAAATATTAGTCTATCATAAGGAGATATAGTGTAGTCATGACTTGCGAGTGTCAACATTTTAAGCTGTAAGGAGGCACAACACCTTGACCTTGGTCTTACATTGCATTACGGAGTCTCATAATGCCAGCAGCTCTGAGAATGTCTGTTTTAAAGATGGAACTAACAACCGAATCTTGATATTTGGATTGATAATACAGATAAAACAATCAACAAAACTGAACAGAGCAGATTATTTTTATTAAGACAAAACGTCAACCAAAGGTATGTGGATAAACTAGTAGAACAAGGTAAGTGGAAGCGTGAATCGAAAGACAGGACAATAGGAGAAGTATTAGAATAACAATGGCGAACAATTATGTTTTTTTTTTACCTAGCTTCTATTTCTTGTCGTAATTAGATTTGTCCTGTCTGCCGAGGAAGGCTCTCAGCCGAAACGTTCTTCTCTTACTGTCCTGTCCTTCGATTCAAGCGTCCACATACCTGGTTCTACTTTTCCTTCACACAGCTTGAACGTAGTCCTTCATTTATTTATTCCACTAAACACAAATGTCGCCTTTTTTTTTTTTTTGCCTTTGCAAAGGTCAGGCATCTGAATATGCGACATAGATTTAAATATCGATTTTGTTTGTAGTTTTATTTTTTTTCTTTTTTTTTTTTTTTTCTTTTTTTTTTTTTTTCTTTTTTCTTTTTTTTCTTTTTTTTTTTTTTTTTTTGCCATTGCAAAGGTCAGGCATCTGAATATGCGACATAGATTTAAATATCGATTTTGTTTGTAGTTTTAATTTTGTTCATATCATCTACAAAGCTCTACTGACATACTGAATTCCACAAAAGACGACTTAAGAGAAAAGATGCGTAAAAATGTGCAAATATGTTTTGGTGGTAAATTAAAATTATTTTGTAAAACAAAAAAAAACTCTTTTAAATCTTGTTTACGTTGAGTATTTTAGTAATTTTAATCTCTTTTAAAAAACGTACGAGAAAACGAGAAAAAAACGAATGAAGAAAATCATACTCATATGCTTCAAAATTTAAGTTCATGTAAAAGAAATTTAGTTTTTAAAAAGAAAATTATCGTCTGGTGAAGTTCAGTGAATGTCACGTGAGGTATGGCCCTCAGCCTGTACAAGTCTCTCTTATCTGTGTCTTGTTGTTTCTTTATGAAGTCATTCACTTCCCATCAACCTTGCGACTGAATAAAGGAATTTATGAAAGCCCAAGGCTAGAGCGTGACTACTCCATTAATCTCCTCACATTTTACTGGGTTTACTTCTAGCCATGCTACGTCATTGTATGGAAATATTGTCCAAGACATCGGTAAGTTGGTCTTAGTCCAAGTATCTGCTCTCAATTTAACACGACTCACTTGACATAGTCCTTGAATGCTGGATGAATGCCAGTCAAATAGCATCTCCAGAGTGACGGCTGTACAATCAGAGGGGTTGCCATGGGTCAGTGGAATAAGCAATTAATGGAGCTGTTAGAATAAGATGTTGACTCCGAATGATTATCTTCATGTATCATAGTTAAAGTAGACCTTATATTTGTAAGAAATTCCATGTTTCAACTTCTATCAATCATAGAGCAGCGTTCCCTCAAACTGTAGAGTGCGGACCGGGACCGGTACAAGCGCCGTACGCTGCCGGTCCGCACAATATAAATAGTTATGGTCTAATAAAAATGTAAAAGTAAATAAATCTGCTACCGGTTCCTGGTGCATTTTGGAAACTTGTCCACCTGTCCGCCAAACTTAAAAGTTTCGGAAACGCTGTCCTAGAGCTTATCAACTCTATAACCAATCAACCCAAGAACTTATCAACACTAAGGACTATCATCGCTGGAGCATTAAAACCGTAGATACGCCCATAAATTCGGATAGCGTGATATCTTTCTTACAAATTTCATCACGTTAAAAGGTTATCAAGTGCAGTCTCAGAACTACCGTTCACAACCAAGGGCTCTAAACTTGTGAAAGACCCTACTTCATTAAATAAAAGGCTTT